GAACGACACTTATCTGTGAATTAATATTAAAAAAAAATAAAGATAATAGAAGTTCTTCACATAATAAAAACTCCCCAACCTAAAATATTCTTTTTATAGTAGCTGCTCAGCTCCTAATAATATGCCTCGCTGTCGACAATTGGCAAGTTAGCTTCCAGCTTGCCACATTCAGCATAAGCTTCGTTTCTATAAAGTTGGGCGTCGGGCAGATATTTCACACATTTGTCTGCCAACTGCACAAAATCATCAGGACATGCACCTACAGATTTCAATGAACAGTCTCTGCTAAATATCCTTTTAAATTTGCGAAAATTATATACAAAATCTGATTTGACAAATTTTACAATGTAAGCCCGATTTTAATAGTAGGGTTTCACCACAAACATTTTATAAATTTTATTAATAGTTTTTTAATCCCCGTCATTATAACTCTAGTAAAAAAGTTTATTCGACTAAAACAAAACGTTTAAATTAGTCTCATTTCGCAAACTTTCAGGTATCAAAAGTTCGTTACGCAATTGCTCTGAAAATTAATTTTTTCTATAAAATATTACAATACAAAATTTTCATTTTACGATATTTCTTGACGTAGCACCTTATTTTACTATCAGGGAACTTTGTACTTTTGAAAGTAAAATTTTTGAATTCATCCGGCTTAACAATCGTCATGCTTTTTTTAAACATTTCCCACCTCAATTCAATATTCAATGAAATAACGTAGTTAAAAAAGCAAGGAAATGTTATAAAACAAATTTCAAACCTTCGAACGAGGGCGCCCAGCAGATGAGAACCAGAACAAAAATGGGGAAAACTTCTCTCAAACCGGTCGCCATGTTTTTTCTGTCCAATCTTCGAAAGATATCTACCGACAGAAATTCTTCTCTTTTTATTCTCTCTTCATCCACCATTAAAAACATTTCTCATTATCATAGATGCATATTTAAAAAAACAATGCTTGCGTTGGATATTGATGTTGCTGATGATTTATGATGATGGTGTAGTTTATTGATGATGATGATGCGGGTGATTTAAGATGATGATGGTATTTTATGATGATGATGTGGGCGGTTTGCAATGATGATCTCGATGATTAACGACGTGATGCATTTAAAATGCAAATGCACTAAAATCTTCTGAATAAACATTATTCACCAAAAAGCTGTTTTTCATATGATTACTAAATCTACAAATGTAGAACAAAAACAACTTCAAATATTTCTACTACTACTGCTACTTATTTCCATTTTTTGACTTTTTGCTAGAACCAAAGTTTGAACAAAACACATCAAACGTCTTTCAGTTTTCTCAATTTACTTCCTTTTTTTAATTAAACATATTTTAAAAATTACAAGCACTAAAGATGTATAAATACAACTTGTTGTGGAGTTGTAAATGAATGAATAAAACAACCGATAATAAAACCAGCTTATAATATTAATTTTATCGTTATACGTAGAATTATTTAAAAAAAACTCTTTTCGAAAAGTTAGAACCAAAACTTTTATTCATCTATATTTTATTATCACGTTAATTTAAAAAATTTTTGCTTGCACTATATTTTCATCATACTTTATGTTATCTGACGCTCTGTACCAATATTTTTAAAATAAATTTTTGAACCAGATTACCTGTATAGTAATAAAACAATTCATACAAAAACTGAGAATTAGAAAAAAAGAAAACTTGTTAGCACATTTAAATTAAACGTTTTACAAACGGTAAAATGATAATATAGTTCCAGGTCAAAAAATAAGGACAACCATTTTGAAATGGAATAAAAAATGATCATGTGGCAAAATTTATAAAATTACTAAAATAAAAGGACTTTTATGATAATTACTTTTATGATAATGATAAAATGGTAATTTAATATGTAGCAACAAAGATTGCTTAAAAAATGCTCAAATTAACTTCATCGCATTCAAAATGTCATCGGCGCAAATTTTATTTTTAATCTACATGATCAGAAAAATTATTTAATAGTTTGATCGCTAGGCTCGCCATTTTAACCACAGACCGTCAAACGAAAATTGTCATAATTTTTCGATTCTCAAAATGCTTTGTATGCTTATTTTATGGAAAAGTTTACCACTTTGAATAAGAGATTGTTGAACAGTTTTATAAAAATTTTGGCCTTTTCATTTGTTGACCTGTAAAATCTTCTCACAACGGAGGGGCCAGTGTCTCCTCGGTCTCCTTAGATCCGCCACTGCTTACTGACACTACTGGCCTCAATCCCATCTTCTGTCCTACAATCCCACCCTGTCCTAGGCCCTTACAAAAGTTTTATTTGATTGATCTCACCAACGTTGGCTAGTTAGCTTATGCAATGAGCAGGTATATATAATTATATAAATTTGTAAATTATATAAATTTGTAATTTAACATTTAAAAAAATTAATATTTTAGTATGTTAATTTTCAAAAACGAAGGGCTCCATTACGAAAGTAATACACAAACAGTTTCTACGCGTACTCCTTTGTGTGCGGAGAATGAAATGAATACATATCAAGTGGAGAGCGTTAGAAGTATCATCTTTTAGGTTGTTTCTGAATCTCTATCACATGTTTAATAAATATTCATATATGATATATTTCATTCATGAAAAAATTTGAACATTTTAATTATGATATAGTAATGAAAATAATATTAGTGATAATAATAATAATAACAATTTAAAAAAAATAATAATATTAATATCTTGCCATGGCAAGTGACTGAGGTGCATTAATATTATAACAACAAAGACAGCGTATGTTGTAAATACAGGTGAATCAACGCTCACACACCTTTATATGTGGATATTTTTAATACAAATTTCTATTTTTAATCCTTGCATATGTTTTTTATTGATTTAAATTTTTATATTGAAAACATTGCGCTCTCTTTTCACTGTTGCTATTACTACAATAAATTCAAATCACAGCGTTTATATCTGACGCTATTTCCTGCGTAACTAACTTTTTTATGAACATTCACATTAGCTTATCTTAAAACTTCTACACTATATTACATTTCTTTGACATATCATAAGGAAAAATAAATCAATGAGAGTGTTTTGCATATGAAATCGTTTCTCTTTTACTACCTGCTGCTGATAATACTTGCAGTTAGTATTACTATACTTTATTACTGCTATTACAGGCAATGCATCTGTTACTAGTACTGCAATTACTCAACTACTTCTCTTACGTCTACTGGTTTAAAACAGCTGCATTCTGTTGTATAAAATGTAAACAAAAGTTAAGTGCATTACTGCTAATGTTGTTTCGCTTTTTATTTTATGTATTTCTATTAAATATACAGGACGAAATGTATACAAATTCAACTGTCTTGTCAAAACTACAAAAATTTGTTTGTACGTGAATGCGAAGTGCTTGTTTATAGAGAAAGCATAGAAAAACAGTTTTTTTGGCAACATCGAAAATAACAAGTTTTAAAAAGAAAATTTATTAAAAATTATTTGAATTTATTTTCATTCCCTAGCTGAACTTCTATCAAAGATTCACTTAAATATGTTCTATCAGTTCTCTTGTCCATTTCTCACAAAGTAACTTGACTAGTATTTGAAAATGAAGTTTCAATTATTACGCTACTAACTTTTTTGTATTCAAACTATAACAGATACAGCTGAGTCTAAAATAAATCTTCCATTGACCACGTTGCTACCATTACTTGAAATAATTGTCAGACTTCAAAAAGCATCGAAAACTCGTTACGTTTTATTTTTCAAAAAATTCCGAGTTCCAATTAAAAATTAGCTTAAAATTTATTTGTAAATTTCATTTATTAAATTAAAGTTAGATTAAATTTTTAAAATTCAATCAAATTAATGTTCTGACGAACATCATTATTAATCGACTTGGCAAAGAGCGCAGTTGTTGGATGAGCACTTGAGGTCATTGAACTTGTACTTTCCATCGTAGTTGCCCATCTCAATGCAGTCTTCATCTGAGCCAGCGTCGTTCGGTTCTCCGGGTGCCCAATTGTTCATCTCGTTCACACTTTTGTAGGCCTTCACTTCATCCAAAAACTTTGAAGATCTGTAAATTTTTCAGTTGAAAATTTTGGTGTCGACTTTTCTTTGACCAGCAACCCAAAAACTTTCGGTATTTATTACTGGCGCTATTCCAAAAATTGGTACCAGTACTTTTAGATCGGTTTAATTGCTACACGCGTTGTTGTAAATGTTGTTATTAACGTCAACGTTTTTGATTTTATTGTTCACTTTTCAACATTACTATTAAAAATACTACAAATCCTGTTGACGATGCGTGAGCTTAAAAAAATTCCCTCTACCATTTAAAAACTTTCGTCGCGGCAAACGCCACAGCCGAGTCGCAACGTATGAGATCCATTTTATCGTAAAAAGTGAAACATTTTTTATTCTTTTATTTCAAATACCTTGGACTGACTGAGTACCTATTCAATGAGTTATTTTCAAAATTGTGATTTACGTATTCAGTCTTAAGAAACCTATAAAAAACAATGATTTTTTTGTAATTTTTTTTTACCAAGTCAGCTTATTTGGCATTGTATAATAATATGTTACTCTATATAACACTATATAACATTTTACCAAGTTATAGTGTGAAAAACTTTAAAATTATCGTAATAATGTTACCAATTGTTGAGCATTTGTATTTATTAAATTAGAAGAGTTGGAAGTTTTCAGTACGTTGTTAGTTCAACGTTTCAATAAATTATTTCCATTTAAAAAATGGAAAGATTTCTGGTTGTAAATCTTAAAATAAGAGTCAAAAAAGTTGAAATATTGAAAGGCTTTTTTAATATAAACTAATTTTTGAAACTTAAAAAAATTAAAAATTGCGATAGCGCAAGTGTAATGCAAAAGTTGCCGTTGGTAACCAATTGGAAAAAAAATTTAAACCACCATATCTGAATGAGAAGATTGTTGAAATTTAAAAATTCATTTAAATGTACCGCAACATTATTTTTATAAAATTAAAAAAACCAACAAAATGCTGATGTAGTTAAGTTTATTTAAATAGCAAAAAGTCATCAATTTTGACGAAACTCCTCCTGGCTGCTTCAGCAACGATAATGGTCGGATCGAAAAGGAAGTTCTGGAGGAGAAGTTGGTTCTTCTGCAAATGAACTATCTTCACAGTCCCTTTCTTGTTGATCTTTTTGATGTCCGACTCTGAAATTGTTCCGAGAGAAGTTGGGCAGGTTGTGGCAATGTGCTTGCAAAGCTGTTCCGAGAATGCTTCGACTGTCGCGTATTTACTCTTTTTCGTCATAACTGCCACCACACCCATCTTTCCGATGGCGTAGTTCTTTCTAGCGGACACTGTGCGTGAAAAACAGTTTCATTGAAATATTTTTTAACGAATTACTTTGCACTGAGTGAACAAACTTATGTCTCGGACGTATGTTCCGATGTAAGTGTCGTCTTGTTGAAATTTATAAGCCACGTCAGTCAGCAATATCGATTCGTTCAGGGTTTTAGAAACCTCCAACAGATGTGTTTTTGTCATCCTTCCATCGGACAATGGTAGTGTATCGGTATGTTGGGCGCTGATTTTGGGCTACAATTTTAGTGAAAGAATAAATTAATAAAATTTTGTAATTTTAAGATATATGTAAAAATTATAGTTAATAGTTATTCATTTAAATAAAATGTTATATACACACACGCTCATATAAATATTACAGAAACATATATATAACCAGTTGCAAGTCCTTCATTTTTCTCAAACGTTTGAGACAATTATCTGCGATATCAATCATCAAGTTCATCAAGAGTTCTGATTTGGTGGCTTTTTCGGTTTTTCCAGTTGCCTAAATTGAATAAGTTTTTTTTTAATTGTCAATTGAAGTAATATAAACCATAAGTCATTTACAACAACAATGAAAAAGCGCAGATAAATAAAAATGAAGTGTTATAACATTTGATTGCCGAACCTTAAACATGACAACGATATCTGGTTCCTTCATGACGATGACACTCACGCACTCCTGCTCCTTCTGCTCACCAGCTGGAATGTCCCAAGACATGTAATAAAATGTCGATTTCAGTTGATCGTTCTTTGGATTGTTGTTCCTTTGTGTCAGTTTGGCCACATCCAGCTCCGCGTCACTATCGTCATCGTCATCTCCATGATTCCCCGCTGAGGAACCACCGTCCATGTCGTCGTCTTCCATGTTCACTGTCAGGCACTGATCGCCCTTCTTATTCTCAACTGATGCTTGCCAACATCCAAAATCTTTGTCATCCTTATCTTTTTAGTGTTTTTTTAATTATAATAATATCATTAATTTCATTCAGTAACTTCAATATATAATTTTTCAAACCTTTGGTTGTTGACTTTGTTTTTTTATCGTTAAGATCTAAATCGGGCAAGAAGATATTTAAGGTTGTGGTTGTTTGTAACGGCACCGAGTACACCGGCTTATCCTTTCAATTTATGACAATAAAAATAATAACTTTTTTTACTGAACGTTAAGGAATTGTTTCAAATAACAAAAATGACATATTTTGCAATTTTTAAATTAGTTGCGCAAAAATTTTAATTACTTCAAATAATAATAATACAATCTAATATAATAACAATAATAATTAATCTAACTCTAATGGAAGCCACTAGAGGTACATTGCCAGACATCAATTTTATTCTTGTTTTGTGATTATCTGTCATTTTTAACGATCGCTCTTTCAAATGCAAATTTTATTACATTATGTGTATATATTGAGAATATAAACAGTAAGTGAACGAGTAACAGGGCTTGAAACTATTGTCAATTTTTATTCAAAACTTCTAGAGTGTGAAGAAGCATTTTATGTATGGGTAATATTACGAAATCTTCCTAATAAATTAAAACTTTATTATTAAAGAAATGTTAATTCTTGAGTTTCAGCAAAGTGAATATATCAAGAAATTTAAAATATGCAACGAAATTTCATAACAATGTGAGCAAGCCAAGCAGCAAGACAATAGTTAGACTCATCTCGTGTTTGTTGTTAAGTTGCTCATAAATATCTCAGGCTGTTGAATGCACACGTACAAGCTTCCAAATCGATGACAGCCTAAAAGAACTGGTACATGTAGTATCACTGTTTGAATAAATAAAACTTTACATCGCGAGTTACGTTTTATCCTTCGTTTTTCAAAATGCCATCATCCGTTCTATTCTCACTCAGTGATTCTAACGTGTCCTACGCTAAATTTAATTTTCATTTGAATGAATTTAGCGAGGCGACTCTTATAAGACATAAAATAATTTTCACCAACTTTCAAATTCTTTCACTCTAAACTAAACTCGCTATTCATTCATGAACTGTCTGTAGGACGTTCACCTCGCTTCATATCTCCCATCAGCCTCACGTATGATGGGTAGTTTCAACTGAATGTTTGGACAGGTTATTGACGCTTAACTTTAACACATGTCGTCGTGTCTGTTCAGTCCCATTTCAATTTGACCTTGTTTGATACCAGCTCTCCAATATTTTCATTTCAATCGCTCAAGGATTATATAAGTGCCAACAGCCAGTTTCGCTGAGTAGTAAAATGGAAAATGTTAACGAATCATCGGTCGTGTGCTTTCTCGCGTTAGCTGGGACAAAACGAAAAATTTAATTTAGTATGAGCGATGCGATTAAATGCCGAACGATCAGAGTGACAACAGAGAGAAGAGATACCAAACTTCGTAGATAATAAAAAATTGTTTAAACTTCTAACTACCAGAATTAATTTCAAATCATTCTAAAATAAGCACTTCTGAAACAGCTAAAAAATGCATTACATAACGTCAGTGAAGACCAGTTATATGTCAGGTTGTCTCGGAGTCTGAAGAAAAAGCGTCGACTCCGACACTCTGGTTACATCGATGTTACACATAGAGAGATCTCTTTTCGACAACCACTAAACAAATAAACGTCCTTAAAAACATAACCAATAAGAGGCGGCCACTATCTAAAAAAATTAGACCTTATTTCATGAAGTAATTAAATTTCCCGATGTATTAATCTCAAGTAACCATCCTGACACTGTCTGAGACTATAACAGCGGCATAAAAAAAGTCGTTAATTTTTTTATTCAGTTTTATAAATATATAAATAATAAAGGTAATTTAAGAGATAAATAACATAGCAGTTGAAATTTCAATAATGAATAATAACGGTGACATCAAATAGAGAGTAAATATATTAATGAAATAGCTACCAATTAATAACGATAATCATATAAGGTTAACGATTTTTTCCAAATAACTATTAAAATTAATATTATTTTCAAAAAATAATAATATAATAATGATAACTTCCATAACCATCAAAATTAACAACCATTTAAACATTGATTAAAAAATTTTTAACACACAAAAATATAAACACGTACAAAATTTTAAAATTACAGAAAATGTAGTAGTAGCGGTAGTAGCACATGTACCACTACTACTACTACTGGCAGTCTTAGAAGTAGTAATAGTAGCAATAGTAGTAGTAGTAGTAGTAGCAATCAATAAAAATGTCAAGTCTCATTAAATATTGTTCTTTTTAAACATTTTTACTTATATTACGATCCTACTACACTACAAGTAATCTATGTATTTTATATATTTCAGACAATATCTATATCAGTATTGATAAAACTAATGTAAACAATTATTACTAGTTAAATTTAGTATAAACATTATATAATTAACTAATAAATAAGTAGTATTTGTATTATTATTACTTATTATTACTATTGAAAACAATACTAAATCAAAAGTGATTGGTCCATATGATAATGCAACAACCAATGAAAAATAATCAATCCAATCAATCAATTAATTAATTAAAAGACTACTAAAATATTAGTATAGACAGACAAAGCCTGTGAAAAATTGATAAATTAAAATATCTATTCAGTTCTAGCAAAATAAAAGACTGTAATTAATTATCATCGTTAACTATATATAACCAATAATTAGCCAATTAATTTTTTAAAAAATTAATTAATTTAGCAATTAACACGACATAACAAATCAATCGATTTAGATTATAACAAATATAAAAAAAAGAATAATCCAAAAAAAAAACATTTATAAATTAAAACATTAATTAATCATATCATGAAACATTGCTGCTAATAGAGGTATGCATGTATTTACATATATTATATATATGTATATATATATATAATATATAATGTTGTATGCATTGGCTTTGACCAAATTAAAGTTTGTCATTTCACTTTCTCATACTAGAAATTTATGAAAATAGATAATGCCAACAATCCGGTAGAGCTCATACAATATTGCATAAAATATGGTCTCCTTCAAACTTTCCCATATTGTAATTATTATTAAAAATCACAGCATGTTCCGCGTTAATAAGCTTCCTATTTAATTTTTAGATTTTTTCACATAAACAACGATCACCGTATAGGAGTACGAAAAAAGCTTTTCTGTTCTATCATGCTTAAAATAAAAATTTTGGTTTTGAGCTCAAGAAACATGACATTGATTTACGATCTACCGCTAAAGAAATCGAAAAATAAAACTGGAAGCTAACTAACGCGAAACAAGCTGTGATTTTCAGAGATAATTACATTTCTGACAGTCTTAAACAGGATATATATATATATATATATAGAATTATACATGTAGAATTATATATATACGGAAATTTACATATTTTCCACATTTTAATATATATATAATACGTGTATATATGCTAAATAAATATAAAATTCACATAAATACCTATTCATTATTTATGCAATATCTGTTATACATATATATACATATATATATATATATATATATATATATATATATATATATATATATATATATATAATATACAAAAGGTTGCTTTGTGAACTAAGAGTGAGTATGTCTACAGAAGTTAATTTTTACCTTAAATGTTAGTTAATACATGTTTACCATAAGCGGTTAACAGTTATAAATAATAAAAATGAGAATAAATATATAACTAAAAAACCTTTTTAACTTTTAACAAAAATAAAATAACAAAAAATCGACATACGACATATAGAGGAAGATATATATAGCGTTATACACACACAAACACACAACATATATACATATATATATATACGTATATACACAAACACACAACGTATATATATATGTATGTATATCTTTATATATAATAAAAAGTTATAATGATTATAAATTAATTGTTATTGTTATGAAAAATCAAATATGCCATAAACATAGAAACGAAACATTTAAATTAAATCACGTTTTATTCATTCTCCATCTTTTTTTTTAAGAAAATAATTAAATCAAGATTATTTAATTTGTGATTTACAGGAAAAATAAATTTATTAAATTAAGATCAAGGACTCATCAAAAAAGGCAATAATAATAAATTAATAATGATATAATAATAAAATAATATGATAATAATAATGCAAAACTTTATCAGATGGAATAATTTGGTAGAACACACAAAATGAAGAGTCCACTTATTAATTAACGTAACTTAAAAATGTAATACCACGCGCGCGCACACGCACACACATTAAATTCAAAAAATCTTTTATTCAGTAAAATACATTACCAGAGAGACCCGAAGTTCTATATATACATCTTATATAGAACTAAAAATCGAATTGAAAGGATATATATATATATTCAACGAACTGAATGAACTAAATCGGGAAATAAAATCTGCAAATATATATATATGCTAGTAGAAGACCGAATTCTTGACAATATGTAATAAATTCCACCGATTTATTAGTGTTTATCAACTTGTATTCGAATTTTTTAATTTGTCTTAGTAAATTTTTATTGACAAGATTGAGTTTGTTTAAAATTGAAGCTTTATTTTTTAAGAGCCGGATTGGGAGTGAGGTTGTCATTTTTTGTTGGATATTTATTTTTGGTTTATTGATGTCAATTAGGACTGCTTCTGAAATTTTAATATGCGTGTAGTTGGTGTTCTGGTATATTACTTTGATGTTGCTGTCGAGGATTTCACGGCTAATAGTGATTGAGTGTGTTGAGTCCAAATGAGATTTATAGCCAACTCTGTTTATGCATCGCAAGCCTTCTAGTCAGTCAGGTAGTAGTAATCCCGATATATGAGTCATGTTGACGTGCACAACCGTCAAAGGGGCAATTGAATTCATATATTAGGTGACTACGCTTTAGCACAGAGTTATCTCTAAGACTACAGTTGTATTTCAATATTAGGTGAGACGTCTTTTTATTGTTGTAATAAATTCGGAGTTTAACTTAACTGTTTGGGTTGGTTGGTTTGACATTTTTATTGATATGTTTAAAAATAGCTTCATCTACTTTGTATGCAGTTGACATGTGATTTCTGTAATACAAGATGATGTCGTTATCTCGAGTGCTGGTATTTGGAAGGTTATTGTTGTGTAGTAATTTGCCTTTAATAAACTTTTCAATAGAATAAGTCTTATATCCATTGTTTACAAGCAGGTTGGTGACTCTTTTTAATTCAGCGTCGCGATTTTCAATATCAGAAGAGTGTATGAATGCCCAGTTTACAAATAATTTTATTGTGCTGTCTTTAAATTGTTCGGTACATTCACTTTGTCCATTCAAACAAATTCCTGTATTTGTTTCTTTGACATAGACCGCTGTTTTGAATCGTTCTTCGCCACGGGTGACAAACACACCGAGGAAAGATAAACGCTGTTCCTTTTCAATTTCAATGGTAAATTTTAATTTTGATTTGTTTAAGGTACCAAGAAGTTAGGTGATTTGTTCAGGATCGTTATAGAAGATAAAGATATCATCAACTTATCTAGCGTAGATAATTGGTTTTAAATTTGCATTATTTTTGAAGGTCTCATTCTCCAGATGTCCTAGGTAAAAACTGGCAAATAGTACACCAAGAGGGGATCCCATAGCGACACCGTCGATTTGCTTGAAAAGTTTGCCTATGTGACTGTGGAATGGTGCTTCGGTAGTGCAAATTTGAAGAAGGGACTTCAGTTGTGCTTTCGGTATGCTCAATGGAATCATATCTGAGTGGTAAACGGTGTTGATAATTATGTCATTTGTATCGTGAATTGGTACATTTGTGAGTAGTGATTCAACATCCAGAGGCAATCAACCTGGATGGTTTATTAATGCCGAGATCAATTGCCCCTTTGACGGCTGTGCACGTCAACATGACTCATATATCGGGATTACTACTACCTCACTGACTAGAAGGCTTACGATGCATAAACATAGTGGTGCTATCAAATCTCATTTGGACTCAACACACTCAATCACTATAAGCCGTGAAATCCTCGACAGCAACAGCAACATCAAAGTAATATACCAGAACATCAACTACACGCATCTTAAAATTGCAGAAGCAGTCCTAATTGACATCAATAAAGCAAAAATAAATATAAAACAAAAAATGACAACCTCACTCCCAACCCGGCGCATAATCAACAATGAAAACAAAGAAGTAATAAAAACTAGCATTGTAAATAATGAAAAAGAATAATATGATGCTATCGATGAAGAAAAGGAAACCAATGAAGATGGACCAGCCAATAAAGAAATCTGACACCTAATTTCCATCTAAGTTCACTTTGACAAAGTGAATATTTCCCCATATAAACTAAATTGCACTGATGATGATTCATTCGGAATCGAAATATGGCCTTATTTGTAGAATGAATTCGGAAAATAGTTTATTTTGAATTTTAATAAACTAAACGTTCTCCAAAAAACTTTAGTGAGAAAAATCGAAAAAACGAACTACAAACATACTAATGAAAACATTCGGTAGAGTTTATAGAATATTGTAAAAATTATGGTCTATTACCAACATATATAAACATATATATATATTCTTAACAATATATATAAAAAAAAAATATATATCTTAACTATTGTATCTTCTACGGTCTTAATCCTACTTATATATATATATAATATATATATATTATATATATATCAATACACAAATAGACAATCTGACATAACATTAACACGTTAGCGAAATACATTAAAGCCGTCATAATGTTCAGCTTGCAACACAGCAAAGTTACGTTTAAATTTCATTCATGCTCTAACGTAATTTAAATTTCAGTGTATATTTAACTTAACAGACAGACAGACAGACACACACACATTTCATTAGTCTTCTTTTATTGTTTTTATATATAACAACATCTGACGAACGCAGAATCTGTTAAAACATAAAAGACAGTGATGATCTTCATCATCATCATCATCATCTTCGTCACATAATAAATAAACTTAACGTCCAAATCATCACACATCTACTGTCATTACAGATTCAACTCAAATGCATATATCATCTTCTTACTCAGTTTATACTATAACATGGCTCGCCAAAACAAATGGACAACATACACAACATGACATGACACAACATGACATAACATAATAATAAAAATGATGATAAATGTATAAAAATGCGATATTAATCAATAACTTTTAACATATTAATAATAATTAATTTATACATACACATATTTGTGTAAATATACATACACGTTCCACATAAAATCAACTACACACACACACACACACACACACACACACACACACACACACGCATATTCATTTATTTATGATGGCTCTTCTTATAAGGATGATACTTAATATTAGAATGAATTCTCCCTGATTTAATGGTGCTGATATTTGAAGTAGCAGAATAAGCAGCAGCAGAAGAAATAGAAGTCGTAGTTGGATAGTGTAAACTACCATAAACGTCATCAGCATCTACAGCCGCTGCCAAGGCCACTTTGTATCTCTCAGTGGCCATACCTATATAAATTTTGATGTTACTTTTGTTGATAACTATATTTTACTATTAAAGAAATTTTTGCAACTATTAATTTTGTGTGGTCTATTTGTTCGAGGCATCGAATGTATAAGTGCGGTGCGATTTTTGCAACATTTTGCCGAGCTTGTTTGTGTTGTTATGTCTGTGATGAGATGTTTTGGTGGGTGGGTGGGTGTGTGCGTGAGATAGTTGTTGGTGTTAGAAATTAAATAAATAAAAAAATAAATAAAGTAAATATAATTTTAAAAAATTAAAAAAATGTGTCTTCTTAATTTGGAGCGTTTTCAAAAAATAGGAAAGTAAAATTTTCAATTAAAGAAAGTGAAATGTAAATGCAGAAATAATTAGTAATAATAATTATCATCACTTTTTATAAAAATTATTCTAGTTTACCAATTTATTTTTAATCCACGCAAAAAATTGTTTAAATTAAAAAAATGTTTCTCTAATTAAACTTAGGCAAGGTACTTTAATCAGCACCAGTAATAATATTATTACTACTACCATTAGTACTGTTACTATTTTTGTTTTAAACTTATTCAGTGAATTAGTATATGATAATATCGTTTTAATAGAGAATTAAATTAAATTAAATTAGAAAAAATTAAATTAAATTAAAGAGTCACAATACATCAACGCTATCATCCTTAAAATCATAACTATCAGGCTTATCACCATAATCATTACCATGTTCTCATAGTTTATCATTATCATAATGAACTATCAAAAACTTCATCATCACAATCAAAATGATCACATCATCGTCATTACAATCCTCATCATACCGTTGCCAAATTAATGTTAGTGATTAATAAAAAGTTAAATTAAGATTAAAGATTAATTATTAAATTAATTATTAAATTAAATTAAATTAGACCCACTATACATAGCATCAGATTGCTGAAATGGATAGTCTGAACTAGACATCAAAGTTGTTTGATAGTTGAATATTTAGTTTAATTATTATTATTTATTTAATTATTATTGTTCAATTAATTAATCAAATATTATTTTTATTAATAAGCTATCATTACATAAAAAAACTAATAAATATTTATATTGTGCATGCATAAATGAGAATAATTTGGCCTCAATTTAAAATGTGAAAATTCTATACAGTTGTCGCAATTAATTAATTACTATTATGTAATTAAATTGTTAACATTTATTTTCACTTAATCTTAATCACTAAATACATAGTCAATTAAAGTTCATTGAGACTAAAAAAAAATACTGAAATATCATAAAAAAATTTACCTTAGATAACTTGGAATATCCTGGGAAAAAAAATAAACAATGCTAATCAATATAATTCATCTACTAAAAGTGGATGAAGTATTAGAAGATGTCTGAAAAAAGTGTAGAAATCTATCTGAGGAACATACATTTCCATGACTGGGGAAGGCAGAAGAGAGAGAGTAAGCATTGCTGGAAGTGCTGCTGCTGTGGTGATGGTGGTTGCTGCTGTTGTTGTTTGTGACACCGCTGTTGCTGATGTTGTTGCTTGTGCTACTGCTGCCGGCATAGTGGTGGTGAGTTGGTTGACTTGATGATTTTGGAGTTGTTGCAGGCCCTGGCCTAGGGGCTCTTGGATTACCTGATTGCCTGTTAGTTTTTATTTAATAAACCACAGTAATAAATCTTGATTTTCTGATAAAACGTTAAAATAACAACACAGAGGAAGCTTAAAGTTTTGAAGGAGTGAAAAAATGAGTAGAAAATATCCATAAAAATTGTTAAATATAATAAATATAACCGTTTTGAATGCACTAACCAAGCAGCAGGACTGGCAGGTGGTCCTCTGGCATGGTGTGGTCGATGAGGTACCATCGGTCCTCCTCTACCTGGAATCATCCTTCCTCCATCACCAATGTTCTCCTATAATCATCATTTTACCATTTAAATTTATAACAATTCCTTGAGAGCTCATAATAAAATTAACTTTATAACTGATTGTTAGAAAATAATTTAAAAAAAAGTAAAAATTTTCAAGTAAAATATATATACAAACTTAAAAAACAAAATGAAAAAAGGAAAGACTAACCATCATGAAAAGTTCATTGAGCCTGCCTAGTGCAAGAGACACTTTGTAGTAGCATTCAGAAGCAGAGCCAAAAGCTTCAATGAGAATGTGCAGCTCCTCGTGTAGATGCGCATACTTGCCACCTTCTTTTCTCAACTCCTCCTCCTAATTAGCACAGAATATTATCAGAGTATTTACTGTCATCATTCCCTCCTCATCACAATCACCATAATAATAACAAAAAATTCTTAAATACCATCCAAAAATTCATAAAAGTAGTCAACACAAAACGATCAGTAATGGAAATAAATGAAAAATAGAAGTGACAATAAAAGTGGCAATACCTTGGACTTATCCTTGAGTGAACCAGCTCCCTGAATAATCATTTTTGTTCCTGTCTCAATCTGCATTTGCTTAAGTGTGTTTGCGTTCTGTCCGATAATCTTGCCCATAAAATTGAACTATAAAACAAATTTTGAACACAATCATTAATTTATTTCCAGCAACAGAATAGCTAGAAATGACATTTTTCCAATGTCATTAATGCATATTGCCTGGTTCAATGGCTGCCAGTACAAAGCTTAAATTTTTAATTTTTGCTTTGTCATGTTTATTAACCATAAACCGTTAAGTCAATATTTTAAAAAATATGACCATGTCATGTAATGTGGCATGATCTTATTATATTATAAATACCAAATAAATAAATAGTTATACTACAGAATTAAATTGGTATTTATAAAGTCATAGGCATGTTAGTCATAGGCAGTTATGGCATATTAAATAGTATTGACATATTACGTTGTACAAGAGTTTAGTCGAGTTTGTATCTAAATTCACTAACGTTGGGGTACTCTTTGACCGGCAGGCGAACTTTAACTTCCAATTTCATTGGTTTACTGACGTGTAAGTCGACCATCTTTTTCGATCCCGTTGTCACTCGATCGATTTCTTATTGAGTTTTTAATAAAACACCATTCATTTGTAATTAAATTTCACCAAAAAATATGTCGAATACTTATGAAAATAATGAGCAAAACATGCAAATACCTTGCGCCAGCAGAACTTTCGAATGTTTAAAATTACAAGACAGGTCATTATTTGTCAAACTCGTTTTCTCAGCGAATAATTCTGACAAATACGGTGAATCGCCATTTAGTAACAGATCTCTTGACGACATTTTCAAATAAAAAAAATCAAAAAATAATTTAAGAAAAAAAATAAATAGCATAAAAACAAGGCGCCCGATTATCGTGGAAAATGGCTTTGAGTTAGGTATGGAAATGTAGGGGAAAGAACATTTAAGTCGGCCAAGGCACTTTTCAATTAAGCAGTTTTTGATTCTTTGCATTTTAAAGCGCATTTTGTTAAATTTTTAAAAAAATTTGAACTTTGTCCAATATAAAAAAAAATATTAAAAATTGAAATAATTGTGAAATTCTATAAAAATTTTATAAAAATAACTATATATATATTCTAAAATGTCACAGATTATTTTTAAAATTTGTAAAAACTCATTAACCCCAATAAAAATATCCAGCCCAAGACGTTTAAAAAGATTTATGGCCATTATTATTTAAGAATTGAATGAACATTTTCATAGAATAAACTTGATTGGTAAAATTAAATTCCCATTAAAAATTCGGTGTAGTTCGTTCAGTTCTGTCATGAAAATTTTAAATGGTGTTTTTCAAATAGAAACATCTTTAGTTTATGTTTAATATATGTTAAATTGTATTATTGTATACATAACACACACACACACTCACACACACACATGCACACACGCACGCAAGCACGCACGCACATCCATACACACATTCCCATTTGTATGTTGTGTATGTGCTATTTTTTTCCACGTTTTATTTATCTTGTATCGGTGTATGATGATGATGATGGGATAATAAAGATAAAGAGATAAATGATGATTGTTATCTGATGACGACGATTATGATTATGATGATGATGATATAATGATGATGATGATAATGATGATGACGACGATGATGACGACGATGATGACGACGATGATGACGTTGAATGTAAATTTATTGAATATTTTTAAAGAGAACAAAAATGTTGACTCCAACGAGTTGACAAATACATTTATATCTCCTAGGAAACCTTTTAAATTTTTAAAAATATCCACCAACTGATCAGCGATGAAATTTATGTGAGGCGAGATGCTTAACATTGCCGAATGCATTTGGAAGATCTGCTAGAATATTTGACGTCATAATGTATCACCATACATCAGAGCACCAGTAAGTAACATCATTTTTTAACCACATACACACACGTACAAACAGAAATATACATACACTCACGTACGAACAGAAATATACATACACACACGTACAAACAGAAATATACATACACACACGTACGAACAGAAATAAACATACACACACGTGTATGCATATTTCTTTTCAATTCATCCTTTCTTTTCAAATATGCAATTCTTTTGCATAGTTCAAACACGGTTATGTTTTATTTCTATCATTGCATTACTCTGAACGAAACACGTAAGATGTGCCAGGCGAGGTTCTTTTTGCATTTGAGCTCTGTCAAAGCGAAGCGG